CCGGGGATGGGGGGGGGGGGGGGGGCGTTCCGGGGGTATACACCTTTTTCTGGGTGCCTTTTGGGGTGCCGGGGGTGGGTAACATATTGGTTCGAAACGCATTTTTTTTTTGGTTGGGAAATCATCCCCCCCCCGAGTTTTTTGGACAAGGGGGTTTCCCGGCCGACAGCGGTCCCCCCCCGTTAAAAAACAGGCCCCCTTCTTGGTTCGCTTTCCTGGGGGTTTGGGGGAAAGGGTCCTTTTAACCCCCCCTTGGTTCCCCCATTAAGCCTTTTCCGGGCCGGATTTTTTTTTTTTGGCCCCCCCCCCCCCCCCCCTCCAAACAGGATCATATCGAGGGCTCTCACGCCACGGATGAACACGAATCGTTCGAGCCCAGACAGCATCAGAGAGCTCAACCACGTCTGTGCCTCATAAGTGGTGCAGCGCACAGCGCACAGCGCACAGCGCACAGCGCACAGCGCACAGCGCACAGCGCACAGCACACAGCGCAAAGCAGACAGCGCAAAGCAGACAGCGCACAGCGCACAGCGAACAGAACCCCCAACAACCGCGGGGCGAACGACAATACATACCTGATCCTTGCTGTGCAGGTCTTCGACGGTGATGACCGTCCGGCGAGGGTTGCCGGTCTGGCTCAGGACCTTGACCCCCTCCATCAGAGTCTTGGAGCCGGCGGGGGGGAGGCAGGGGCGACAAGGGTGTGCGTGACGATTCTTCAACTGTTGCGGTGGTGAACGATGGATTAGGACAACGTTTTCGGGCGTTTTTTTCGTGTAGCTCAAACTTCCGTGGCACCACTCGGGTTGTCCTTCAAGTCCCGCGTTAGGGGGGGGGAGACATGCGGAAAATTATATCCTCGTTCATTCGTGCACCTCTAGGCGACATCAGCGCAAGGTGCCGCATCGCCATCTTCAGCGGGAGATGGGGACACGCCTAGCTGTGTCCTGAATTGCCACTCATCGATCTCTTGGACGTGTCGGAGACAACAGATGTCAACCGACAGGTATCGCCAGCCGGACGGTAGGGCTCGTAGGATGCTCCTCTATCTATGCGCGGCGACAGGCATCCCCAAAAGCCAGCGGCGAGTCGAGAGCTCGCCTCTCTGTAACCCACCGCAAGGCAGACATTGTTGTCTCGGACAAAAACGTGAGGTCGTATGCATACCCGCGAGAAGCCTATTGCCAAGATAGAACAACACTATGATTCACAAACGGCACAAGGAGTAAGAACAACGACAGCAGCGGCAGCAGCAGCAGCAGCAGCTCACCTCGTCTATGGGTGTGCGGTCGATATATCGCCGCACGGCCTTGGCGGCGAGGTGGGTGGTCTCCTCGGCGGCGCGAGCGTCACCGTCAACGACCGAGCTGGGGAACAAGAAGATGCAGTCGGCGTACCTGAAGAGCGGGACGAAGGCGGAAAATATATGTATGCCACACGAAACGGGACGAATGAGAGTCAGAAGATAAAACACACGACTGACTGAAAACAAAAAAAGAGCCGCGGGCAAGCCGTAAAAAAAAAAAGGCGACTCTTACAAAAAAAAAAACGGCCGGAGGCGGGCGGAACGCGTTTGAAGTGTGACAAATGTACAACACGCTATTGCTGACAAGCTTTTCCGCAACGCGGATCGGCTCGCCCGCGGCCCAATCGGCGAGGGAAACAAAGACAAATGTAGGTAGCACGTGGTAAGCCAGCCCGTGTGGCTGCACGCCGGCCAAACAGACTGGCCGGCAGCAACGAGAGAAAGGCCATGCTTGACGAAGCGAAAATTGCTCTCGAAAGCGTCGTGACAAAGTGACCAACCAAGAAAAAACGCACACGGGATCAACAAGCGCTGCTCCGACTAAAATAACGTGCACCTGGTCCAAACAATAACAATCGTCGTCGGGTACACGAGGAAGTACGCACGTTGCTTGTATACCAGCCAAAATAAAGCAAAGTATAGAACTAAAGGGACGCCATCCGAACGAAGGAGAACAAACGTACTCGGCACAGACAGCGGCCATGTCCCTGGGGTTGGTCACGCTGCCCCGGAAGTAGATCACCCTGGACCGGTACTTGGGCTGGCGACACAGGGCACTGATCTCCTCGCTCGGGGATGCGGGCGCCATGACGACAACCCACACCGACACGTTGCTAGCCGTCTGGTCCTGTGGAAGTGCATCGGAGGTGAGGGCGGGGGCGGGGGCGGGGGCGGGGGAGGGACGTACTCAAGTTTCGCATGCCTTAGCGGTGAGACCGCGTGCTCGAGAGGACGGAGCATTCTTCCCACAGGACGGACCGATCACCGATGGCCGATCGATCCTTCCTCCCTTGCCAAAGGTGTCTACACCTTGTTCTCCCTTCCCTGTCTCTCCTATCGATATCAACTTCCCGCCTTTTCAGCCCCGTTCCTACACCCCAGACGGTCGGGGGAGTATGCCTTACCGCCTACGAGGATACGCTCGTGGTCATTCGATGATCGAGAGTGTAGTACGTGTACAAGAGGACAGAGGGGGCGGAGGCGGAGGGAGTCCGTCGTTTGGGGGGTCCGGGGGAGAGATGGTCAAGAACGGTGAGCCTTACACGAGGTCTTTGATTGACCCGTGGCAAACAAAAGAGTGCGCCAGAGAGGAAATTTGAGACAAGAGCAGCGATGCGAACAAGCCGCGGCCGACGTCGCCGCCACTCAAGACAAAAGAAAAACTACCTCTCTCGTTACCGAGACAAATGTTAGTCCCCTCTCCCCACCCACCCCCTTCCTAAGTACTAGCAACCTGTCCGCACGCACGTCGCCCCCGTTCCTACCCATACAGTCTGTCTTAGTACTAGCAGCCAGCCCACGCACATCGTCGAAGAACTCAGCCACGCATCTCTCCAGCATGTCGGGGTCGAACTCGCTGTCCGCGCCGTCCTCGCCCGACATGGCCAGCACGACGTGCAGCTGCTTGCCGACGAGGGAGTGCGGGAAACCGGCGCGAAACTTGGGCCTCGCGTTGATCGCGTCCACCAGCTTGCCCACCTCCAGCGGGATGTACGTGAGCGCGAAGATGATGACGCACACCTGCGTGCGTGTGTGTTTGGGCCGCGC